TGTCTGGTGCTTAGTAGGGATTGGGGTTTAGGGTTTAGGGTTTAGGGTTTAGGGTTTAGGGTTTAGGGTTTAGGGTGCTTAGTAGGGAATGGGGGAATGTAATAGGGACTACTATAGGAGACCTTAAGGGACTATCATAGGGATCCATTCCCCCATTCCCTACTCAGCACCAGACAGTCTAAGTGCCTAGAGACTCCAAAACCCCTTAATTAAGGAATATACCTTAAATTATAATAGGATCCCTAATTTGATTTAAAGTATATCCCTTAATTAAGGAATATACCTTAAATTATAATAGGATCCCTAAAGGTATATTCCTTAATTAGAGTGTTTTGGAGTCTCTGGGTGCAATTCTCTGCCTGTGTGATACGGTATGTTCAGCGGGTAGGTTCTACTCATTAGGGCCTTTAGGGTTTAAGTGAAAGACTATCTGAATAATTACCCCAAGCCTTTTGTCTGTTCATCGCTCGTTCTCCATTCTATCTGCCTAGCTGACCGTCAATCCGTCCCTAGTTCATTCGTGGTCCCCACTTTGTTTGTGTCTATCCGGCGGCTCCTGCGCGATTGCGTCTGCGTAGATACCCAGATGCCTTTCTACCTAATGTAGTCAGCCAGACAGACAAAAGGCTTCGATGCATTTATGAGTGGACAGCATGGCCCCCGATTCAGACTTCAAAACTGAAGTGCGATTCTGTACTCCTTCTGTTCTTGAGCCCAAAGCGATCAACTTCTGCAACACCGAAGACCAACTACTCTGGACTTAGATTATACTGCAGTAAAAAAGGTCTCTATATCAATCTGTTGTGCCTGCTCCTGCGGGGACCGGCTGGCTGCAATGCTATGCCAGGCACGGAATAGCCTCAGCACAGTGCGTGGTGCTGGTTTTTGCATTCGTGACTGCAGCTGTAGGCCTTAGAGGCTCTTGCATCAGATTCTGAGTTGCTGGTCCATGTCCACAGTCTGAACCGCAGGTAATCGTGCTAGGAACACCATTATAGCAGCAGGTACACTGACAGCTGGACTGAGAGCAACAGTTTCATGCATCCTTCGAATAGATGGAGAATCCTTGCGTGTGGTAATCACATGCGTCACAGTAACTGTACGCGGCGGTGGCTGTGAATGCGATTGCTGAATAGCTTGATGTGTGCCTTAAGCAGCAAAGTAGTAAACAATAGGCCTGTCGGAAAATTCCTCGGAGAAAGGAATTCCAACTTGATTGACGATGCATGTGCTGAGCGGCTGTCGAAACAGGGAATAATGTGCAGCAGCAGGAGATGAAGAGAAAACAAGCGCACGGAACTATGTTTTGGGTCTTATGCCTTACATCACTCTACATCCTAAACCCTAAACCCCTACATCTTGCAGGATGCGCGTGTCAAAAGCCGGTCGAACAAGTCGTCAACCTTGACTTGCTCAGAGGATTCAAAGCCCAACGGCTGTTTTCGAGATCCCTCAGGGCTTGGGTTTAGGGTTTAGGGTTTAGGGTGTTTACCAGATCCCTCACTAGTCGATCCGGGGCGCCATCGCCAAAAACTCTTCTCGGCGCAGTGCAGCACATGGTCGACCTCGTCACGGCCCAAAGAACTGAGTGAGCCAAGGAGGCCCCAAAAAGGAACCAATTTAAGGTACCTTGTTTCTCATTTTTCGAGTTCTTTACTACTGGTAATTTAGATGATCCTATACCCTAAACCCGAAGCCCTCAAACCTAAACCCCAGGCCCTAAAACCTATAAACTCTAAACTGTATAATATTTTGGATCCATAAACCCTCAACTGTATAACATTTTAGGGTTCTAGGTTCCCTGGTTTCCAGTTTCGGGGGTTTGTCCACGGTCGGGGCATTCTTGACGGCTGCACCGATCGTGCAAAGTATTGTCGGCTTAGGATTTAAGTTTTAGGGCCTAAGAGTTTGAGGGTTTAAGGGTTTAGGGCTTAGGTTTTAGGGCTTAGGGATTAAGGGTCTGGGGTTTAGGGTTTACCTTGAGGGCTTCGGAGTTCAGGTGTTAGGGTCTAAGGCAGGGTACTGTAGCCTCGTCTGGCAAGTAGAACCCAGACCTTCCAAAATCCTTTAATTAAGGAAGAGCTCCTTAAAGGCATCGATAAGGGAATTCAGGCATGTACCCTAAATTATAGTAGGAACCCTAGTTCACGGGTTCCGGGGATTTTGGAAGGTCTGGGAAGGTGGCGCGGTTTTGTTAAATCCTTGATGGACGTATAGGAGCAGCACGGGGTTGGGTGGCTCCCAGTTTGCCTTGCATGTTGCAGCCCGAAATCCTTACAACGTAGGAACCTGATTCAGAATGAAGAACCTCATAAAGACCCAAGCTTCCATAATCAGGAACAACACAATAGCACCCAAACATAAAACACGTAAACCTTTGAAGGCGAAGGTTTCAAAGCAGTCGGGCAGCCCGCCGCAGCCGTGCTTCGGCAGCAGCTAGTCTCGACCATTCGCGGCATATGCCTCGCAATCTCCACCTGCGCATTCTACGCTCGTCCGACGGTGGCTGTCAGATGCAGCCGGCCAAACAAGATGATAGATCACTTACCATACTCTACAGAAGTACCTTTACCCCAACTATTTTCTGTAGCCCTAAACCCTAGACCCTAAAACCCTAAACCCCAAAACCCTAAACCCTAAACTTTCCTGCAGTTCGATATCGAACTGCCGTCCGACTCAGGCTCGAGATCCTCCTGCTTTAAGCGCCCAGGCGCAGGGGAAAGGGCAAGGGCCCCCGGAGTCCGCGCCGCCGGGAGGCGGAAAGAAGGACCCCGGCCGGCCGTCGGCCTCAGAACTCCAGAGACTCCAATATCCCTTAATTAAGGAATGTACCTTAAATTATACTAGGATCCCTAATATAATATGATTTAAGGTATATTCAATATTCCTTAATTAAGGGGCTTTGGAGGCTCTGGGACACTCACAGCACGGAGGGGAAGAAGTGGGAAGGCGATGTCTACTTTGAGGATCATGGGACTTAGTAACTAGGGTTATAAATAAGGCAACTATACTTATAAGTAATTATAACCCCACTTGAGGTAGTTATAACCTTACTTACTAAGTCCCAGGATCCTCCAAGTATGTTTGTCAAGAGCATGGCTCTCTTTTCAACTCATCGTAAGCGAGAATGTACACCGTTGGCCGAGGCGCCGCTGCGAAACTTTGTCGCCTCCGGCGGCTGGTTGGCCGAGCACCTGTCAGATCCAGTGAAATCCGGAATCCATGCGGTGCTTCAGTCGAATAATTCGCACGGGGTCTCAGTTGCCGGCTAGTTTCGAGGATTCAAACATCAGTTCTCCAGGTCGCTCGGCAGAGCAAACCATCCCAGTCCTTCCCAGGGCCGTTTAAACACTCAAGCCTTGCATCAGGGCTTTCATCATCCCAAACTGCCCCAAACCTTTGACCAACATCACTCGAGCTCTGACTATATATTATCGTTGTATACCATACTCTACGTAATACGAGAAAACAGTCTATCTTATCCTCCATTCCATTAATACTGCTGGGCTTACCACCGCAGCTGGGCCGAGTTGCGGCTTGACAGCGAAAGGGTCGCCAGTCATGGATGAATGCAGCGCTCCAGGTTACATTGACTTGCTTGGCTTGTCACTTGTCCAATATCCTAGGAGGACTATTATAGGGGCGTGAATAATTGGAAGAGGGTTTTGGGACCCATAAAACTACAACTACAAAAAGGAACCCCCAGAATTGTATTGGTGATTATTTTGGCCCCTACATAAAGGGATTATGCTCGTACTCCAAAACGGTTGAAGTCTATCTACTCCATTGCTAAGTCCAAGGGCGGCAAATGGCGCGATCGGGGATTAAAGCAGCCTGCAAACATGCAATGCCCATGCAATCAAAATTACAGCTGAGGCAGAAGTCGTTGCCTGACGCTTCTGTATCCTGCAGCAGTAATGCTCAATGTTGCTCCGCTTTCGTACGCCACAGGCCCTATCGGAGTTCGATGACCGCCGGCTGTGGCTTCCACCATCAACAGGAACAAGCGAATGTACCCTAAACCCTCAAACCCACGCCCTAAACCCCAACCCTGAACCCCTAAACGCTAAACCCTAGACCCTAAATCCTAAGACCCTAAACCCTAATTTAAACCAAACCCTAAACCCTAAACCCCAACCCTAAACCCAAACCTGTGAACCCCTAAACGCTAAACCCTATAAGATCTGAGAGATGGCTTGTTTCTTTTCCAGAGCTGCGCAGGTCTGGAGGTGGTCTCCGAGGCACTGGCACCGTTCAAGAGGAAGGGTTCCGGCGAACTGGCGAGGTGATATGGGGTTTAGAGTTTAGGGTTTAGGGGTTTGGGGTTCAGGGTGTAGGGTGTAGGGGTTTAGGGGTTAGGGGTTGAGGGTTGAGGGTTTAGGGGTTCAGGGTTTAGGGTTTAGGGTTAAGGGTTTGGGGTTTGGGCGTTTAGGGTAGGCAGGAGTCTACAAGTCTTTACTGAAAGGTTCATGGGACTTAGTAGCTACAGTGTTGGAAGCAAGGTAACTATACTTATACTTATTTACAACCCACGGTAAGTCCTGAGAACCGAAGACCATGACAGTCTTTCGTGGCTTCGTCTTTGGGTTTGGCTCTTAGCTCTTGGTGTCACGTACCCGCGTCTTAGCGCCAGAAGCCTTAGCGTCTCTCAGGGGCTCAGCCGTTTGGCGAACTCCTCCGGTGCAGTGCAGGTCGGCCGCGGCACCATGTCCTGGCAGCTCCACTTGCGGTGTTGACGCTAGAACAATCTCAACGTGACATTGAACTAAGCCGTCTGATCCTGTAGATGATATAAATCCTGCATTACTTTTGAAGACCCTCAACTGTGGGAATTATGGTATATTCCTAACTACGGGTAATGCAGGATTTCTATCATCAACCGTCAGGACGATCAAGACCTTCCGTCCTGAGTCCAACATGTCTCGCAGGGCCTGCAGGCAGTTGAAGCCTCAAGTCCTACACTCAATGCACCATGAAAAGATCCGAGGTTGCAGTTGTGAAAACTTGGAAGACTCACCTTTAAAACACGGAGCTTGGCTTGAGAATGTCTGTATGTCAAACCCTAAACCCTATAACCCTAAGCCCTATAACCTAAACCCTACGCCCTACAACCCCAAGCCCTATAACCCTAAACCCTAAACCCGAAGCCCAAAGCCCTTTAAGCCTAAACCCTAAACCCCTAAATCCTAAACTCAAAGTTGTGACCCTACCTTGAAGAGAGCTAAGCCCCTAAACCGGTCCGACAGCAGCAGGCCCAAAAGACGACTGCCGTTGTAGGGCGTGCGCCCATGGACTACTCTGAGGTTGTCGAGCACCAGGACCTTGGTTTCGAGGAAATCGGAGCTTGGCTTAAAGGGTTTAGGGTTCTAGGGCTTAGGGTTATAGGGGTTTGGGGCTTAGGGTTTAGGGCTAAGGGCTTAGGGCTGAGGGGTTCGGGGTTTAAGGCTTAGGGTTNNTTAGTAAGGTGGGTTATGGGGATTATAATAGGGCTCCTGGGGGATACTAAGTAGACTTACTAAGTCAAAAGGGCCTCCAAGTAGGGCTATAGGGCTATAGGGTTTAGGGTTTGGGGGATGGGGTTGTAGGGTTTAGGAGTTCTGGTTCAGAGTTGCAGGCTTTAGGGGTTAAGGGGTTTAGGGTCATCGGGGCTCAAGGTCGCTACGGAAACCATGGGCTTCTGCACAAATTGTGCGCTGGTTCTGTTTTCTGAGAAAGTGCTGGAGGCTGAACCCGGGGTACATGTGCTGGGAACGTCGATCCACGTTTGGGGGGAAGCAGGATCTATGTTACAGCTGGCAGTGGTCACAAATCCCAAAGGCATCCCGCACTGCAACAGTGACTTGGAAACAGAAAACTTCAAAGAATTGCTGCAAATCCGGATATGCTATACTATACTACTATACTATGCTATGCTATGCTATGCTATACTATACTATACTATACTTTACTCTACTAACATTAAAGGCTAAGTAGGCTTCGGCTGACGCCTGCAATGCAGCCCTGTTGCATCACCGGCATCCAGTCGGATGTACTCCTCAGCTCGCCCGGACCGGACGACTTGCCACACTGTATCATATCAGATCATAGCATGTCAAATCATGTCATATCGTACCATATCAGAATATATCAAAATATAATATATAATAATCTACTAGAGAAAGCTGTCTAAAACTCATTTGCTGTAGTATCCTGTACAATACTGTACTACACTATACTACATTACACTGTACTATGCTATACTATACTATGCTATACTACGCTATACTGCACTATACTACAGTATACTATACTACTCTACACTCTACTACACTATACTATACCCTACTATCATACTGTATTTTGCTGTGTTATATTAAGCTATACCATATTACATTATACTATTTTAATTGTAGTACAACATGCTATACTATAATTACTAAGCTATGCTATACTAGACTATATTATCCTATATGTTAGTATGCCATATTATACTATATTGCACAATATCAGAACATCACGTCCGGCCGGAACCTCAGCTAAGATGCGGTGCTGTCACTGTAGGCCTTGCGAATCTCCGAAAGCTCCTGGCGGTGCAGTGATGGAGAGGGCTTCGAAACACTGAGGAGGCTTTAAGAGGGCTGTCAACCCCCATTATGTTCTGTTTCCACAACAGGCAAGTTTGCACGCTGCTGGCTCATCTCCATCGCAAGGTGATTTCGGCTTACTTAAACCGGCTCTCCGGCTCTATGAGAGCCACTCCTCACTTGGAGCTAGCACCTCACTCTCGCAGCCTCATCCCTCTTGGGCCTCTTCAGAAAGCTCCGTGCCATCGCCCCAGAGGCAGTGATAAGGCCGTTCGCTGTTGGGCAGCTTTCCTGAGACTCGGAGTGTAACATCGGAGCCTGAATAAATTGGGATAGGGCTTGCTGCACGTTATACCACAAAGGGGCGGTATGCCGAGAATATGAGATTTTGCTTTTGCTGCGAAAGCTTATTGCCTCGGAGACCTCTGCGGCCCAAGACAATGCCGAAGCCTGCAGCCAGGATTCCGAACACCGCATGGCCGTCGAGCCAAGAGCCGTGTCGGTTCAGCCTAGTCCCAAAAGGGGTTTTGGGTCTAAGCCCTAAACCCTAGAACCCTGAACCCTAGTTCAGGGGTTGAGAGTATAGGGTATAGGGCCGTTTAGGGTATAGGCTTTAAGTTGGCAAACCCCCAAACCGCCATCAGTCCTGCGAGCTCTCCCTTCAAAACGGCCCGGAATTCTGCTGCTATGTTTCTTGTTACTATCACTATTGTTTTTAGTGATTTGCGTTACTACTATATGACTGCTGTTACGGTTGATGATGCAATTTCTGCATTACCCATAATAAGGGATTTACCATAATTCCCATAGTTTGGGGTCCTTAATGCAGGACTTGTATCATCAAGAGTATGACTATCATCATAATCAGGCGCATGCAAGAAGCCCATACTTCGGGGCATCCGGGCCTCAAACCTTTGGTGACAGTAACATAATGTCGGGGCCTTATCTTTTTACAAAAAAAAGGGGGTTTTCGGGGGGGTTCCTTTAAAGGATTTCCTTAAAGGGTTCTACAAGGGCTACTATTAGTGCTTAGGGTTAGGGGCCTCCACTACACTTATAGTATAATGTGCCCCACAACCCTATTCTAGTTATTAAGGCCCCTATATTACGGTTGTGATGATGACGATGGCGGCCACGATCATGGTAACGAAAATTATGGCGATAGTGATAGCGAGGGATCATACCGTCGTCACATCGTCATCACCACGGACTTCACTTGCATGTAAAGGCGGATGTACACGCACATATGATGTAGGACCCTTGCCCTACACCTTATAGACCCTAAAACTTGGACCCTAAACCCTAAACGCCAAACCCTGTACCCGAAACCCGAAACCATGGATTAGCGGCAGCGAGTTGAAGAATAGCTCGCCGTGGACTGGATGGTGGTGGAAGACTGGACCTCGGGGAAGGAGTGAAGCTCTGATGTAGGGGCCTGAGTAATGGGGTCAAGTGTTTAGAGTTTAGTAATGGGGTTTTGGGGTATATGCTAGTACGTAACTTGTCTACGTATGATGAGGATCCCTGAGGAATAACATTGGCGATGTTGCTCAGAATTTGCTTTGCCCCGGCTTTCAAGATTCACCTGTTGGGGCCGCAACTTTCAGATTGCATGGTGCTGCTGGGAATGCCTTGGAAGCCTTAGCGGCCTAAGCGATGTCATGACGGTCCTTGAAAGTGCTGAGCATTGGCGGCGGGCGAGGCATCCGCTTGAGGCTTCACAATAAGAGAACTTTTTCAGTGTTGTGTTGGGCTCTTGATGTAACCGGAATTTCAACAGAAAGGCCCATCGCAATACAATGCAATTACGAGAAGCCTGAAGCCAATACCATCAAATTTAGATCCACGTCATATTCAGGGGTTTGATTCCATTCACATCACTGCCGTGTGCAGAGCACTCTGTCGTCCGGCTTCCTTGGCCTAGGCTTTCTTCAAGGATCAGGCTCCGCCCACTGAAAGCTGATGTTCCAACGACGGAAAATGCAAAAATGGAAGACCAGATGCACCAAAGCGTGTGGCGGAGTCTTCGGCCATCTGAATGAGCCTAGCTCAACAGCAACTCGAACGAACGCCGGATCAAGAACATGTCAAGTCAAACCCTCTTCCTTGCCGTATATGCATCTGTTCGGAAAGCAACAATACTGATTCTCGAATAGTCGGAACAGTAGCAACACTAGCAGTACCAACGCAACGACCTCGTCGATGAGTGTGGCAGCGCCAGCAGTACTGGAAGCAGTAAGTGGTGGTGGTGATGGTGGTGGTGGTGAGAGCGGCGGCGGCGGTAGTGGGGGGGCGGTGGTGGTGGGGGCGGTAGTGGTGGCGGCGGCAGTAGTACGGTAGCGCTAGCACCAGGAATAGTAACGGAAGGAAGCAGATGCAGCAGCGGCATAGTAATAGTAGCAGCCACAGTAGTAGTAGTAGTAGTAGTAGTAGTAGTAGTAGCAGTAGTAGTAGTAGCAGCAGCAGCAGCAGCAGTAATGGTAGTAGTAATAATAATAACCGTCGAAGTAGTAGTAGTAGTCGTCGTCGTCGTCGTCGTCGTCGTCGTCCTGGTGGGTGTAGTCGTAGTGGCAGGAGCAGCAGGAGGAGGAGGAGTTTAGTAGTAGTAGTAGTAGTAGTAGTAGTAGTAGTAGTAGCAGAAGTAGTAGTAGTAGTAGTAGTAGTAGTAGGTAGTAGTAGCAGTAGTAGCAGTAATACTGGTGGCAGTGCCGCAGAAGCAGCAGCAGCACTAGTAGTCGCACCTCTCGCAGTAGCAGCAGCAGGAGGGACAGCAGCCATCGGAGCGAGGACAGCATCAGCGCAGCAATTGGGATGATGCTCGTCTTGACAATGGCCGCCGCTACCAGGCAGCTCTTGATCATGACCACTGGAGTGATCATGACGAGCGTCATCATTATGATAGCCATCCCGGGAGAGGGAACATGAGGGCTCTCGGTGGCGAGCATGACCCTGATTCTTGTGAGCACCACCAGCATCGACATCATCATCATCATCATCATCATCATCACAATCATAATCATCATCATCTTCTTCTTCGTCAACAACATCGTTATCATCTTCATCATCGGCTGCAGCAGTGCATCATCATCAACCAGAGAATTCTTGATGATAACCTTCCAGCAGCTAAGACAGACTGAGAAGATTATCAATCAATAGACGGTACCGCATGATGGCGTTTGATAGCATGCAGTCCGAAAAAAACATGTCAAACACGAGTTAGAAGCTCCGTAACAACATGAAGACACATGTAGAAGCTGCCTACGTTCAGATACACAATCAAACATACAGACAGTCAGACGAACACACAAGCAATCAAACACGTAGACAAAGAACACGCCCAAAAACATAAAGAGGCAACACGAACACACACACAAAAAAAAAAAAACGTACATACCTACCTACC